CAAACAGATAAAGGACAAAAGTAATATGAAGAATTGTTAAATATCATTTTCATGCCAAAGTGATGCTCATGACCTCCAAATCCTCCACTTTCAAAACTTTGCCTAAAATAACTAAATCATTGCGAGACTTCCGGGTAACTCAGACCATAGTATGCCAGACAACCAAAATACCCTCTCTTTTTAAACTGAAACCCCTAAAGTACTAAAATACTAAAAAAGCAACAAGTATTCTCATTAACAACAAAAGACCAACCCAGACACCTAAACATCATATACCACATATTCAAGACAACAACACAAGTGACAAATAAATTAAAATTCGAATCTACGATATTCCCACAAAGACTACAAGATACCGCTACATCGCTTAAGAGAGAATGCACAATCCCTTCTAATAAAGGGAAAAAAGGATTGAACTTCTCCTTAATGAGAAAGCTATAAGTAGAAGAAATCAAGTAAACCACCTTCTTACCTACCTTTCACCACCAACAATCACTACTAGGAGAGACAGGGAGGGAGAGAGAGATAGAGATAGAGAGAGATAACAATCTCCAACCCACTTAACAAGCATATGTATATTAACCAGATGAATGTCTAACTCCTGACCCACCAAAAATATTAGGCTTACAAACATCGGTCCAACTGACCCAAGGAAATCTTACTTTCTCCTTTCACTCCCCTCCCACATAAACCTTCTTTTAGTCCTCACTATTTCTTCCAGACCTTAAATGACATATTCAGAAAATAAATGTAAAACAATAAGATAGAATTAAGGATTGGGTTCAGTAGAACCAGTCTCCCCCCAAACTCACATACCTATGACGCCAAGAAACCAACCTCCTAGAAATTTGACAGATAAGAGGATCCCAAGAAGAGTCATACAAAAGCTTAACTCTCACAGAAAGAGCAAGTTACTTATATAGGAGAGCACCCAATCTACTATGGAGAAAATTTCCCACTAACTTCAAAACAAATTGGGTTCATATTAATACATACGAGACAACTCTTAAATAAATTAAATCGGATACCTGGAGCTAACTCGAAACTCTGAAGGATAGCTTTGATCACCCAAAGATTCTCCATAACACTTCAACCAAAATAAGAGTATCATTTTCTTACCGAAGGTAAAAAACGGCCAAATCAGACGACCTAACTCTAAAGCCCGAGAAAATACCCAATTCTAAAGCTTTGAAAACATCCTAAATAACCATTCATCCACAAGAAGAAAAAGAAAGGGAGCAAGCAGATCACCTTCTTTCAATCCTCGCTTAATACTGATTTCATGGATCGGGCTCCCATTAACTAAAACAGATAGATTATTTGAGAACACACAAACACACATCCAAGCACGCCACTTTTAATTAAAGTCAAATCTAGAGAGCATATAGTTCAAAAAGCTCCATCTAATTGAGTCATAAGTCTTCTCAAAATCTACCTTAAAGAAGAAACAATTTTTCTTAGTTATGTTGGCATGCTCCCTAACTCATTAAGAACAATCACCCCCGTCAACCAAGAATCTCCCTTAAAGAAATGCATATTGGTTAGGAGAAATCAAGTTCTTACCCAATCTAAATATCGTGACTTGGCTACAAACTTATAAAGCGAGCGAGCCTAAATAAAGTTAACAATTTTATTTTTTTTATCGATAGAATTAGTTTATCATAATATTTACAAAGATGTCACTTATTTATATTAATGAGTTTTAAGTACTCTTTATACTCACAATAATAAATTTTACTAATTAAAAAATGCATATTATTAATTTAGAGTGTGACTCTTTTTTAATTTTTTAGTGAGATTATACTCTCAAGAAAAATGACAATGAATAAATCCTTAATAAATATCATCAAGTTGAAAAAACATATAATTTTATATTCATCATGCTAATATGTGCCTTAACGGCACATGTTAAAATACTATAATTAAAAAAATTGAAGTATAATAAAATTATATTTAAAATTTCAATAAATTGAATTTACCAATTCTGGAAAAATATTTCTGCAAATAATATCGGGCACATGATAGCTTTTGCCATTTTATATTATATTGTCATAGAAAACTATAAATAATAGACAGTATATTATATTGAGAATAAAAGAATATAATTCACCTGGACTTGAACAGATCCAAAGAATGACAGCACAAAGAAGCAAAACAAAAGGGATGGCATGCACTGCATTCTCAGAGAATTTAACACGTGCTTTCTCCCTCTTAGCCAACTCTAGAATAGGATCATATGTAGGCAAATTGTTACTTGATGATTTAAGTGCTGGAGATAATGATGAAGAACTACTACTTGTTACATGTTTGAAGTAATCATCAGAGAATCTGTTCCAGCTTGCAGATCTATGCATTATTAATTCTTTCTTAATGTCTCTAGAGGAAAAAATACATTTTTTTATGTTAATTTGTAACACATCAAAAATTAGAGCATAAAATGTGTTGCACTCTTGTGATCAAAATAAAATATTCTTAGAAAAAAGTCTTCACGAAAATAAAGGCTACTTCTTTGAGTTCGGCAATCTTTGCTCACACTTTCATTCATCCTCTTACCAATTCAATTATCATAATTTCTTTTATATATATTTCTTAATAACAAATTACAAAGTAATATTTTATTGGAGTCTAAGCAAATAATTGGGGTGTAACGTATATGAGTGTTATAAACCACTCGTATCTGATAAAAGATTATAGTTGTATTTTATTGTTGTAATTTTATTTCGTCAAAAAAAGTAACTATATACTATATACTAAGTAAAAATATATAAACTAAGATTTGGTTTTTTAAATTTTTATTTATTGCATGTCATTTTTATATTTATTTTGTTTTTAACACTATTACCATATTCTTATGGATCCGTATTCAAATTATGTTCTCTATTGTAGTTATAAAGGTTATGTAGTGAATTATTTTAACTTAATAGTATTTTGTTATAAACGATGTTCTTTTATAATATTATGGATAAAGTTGTTTTTCTCCATTTTTTTCGCGATGTTACAATATATATGCATATAATAATATATATTCTCAGTCTTTGCTATTACCAAAAAAAATGTTCATAATACTTTTATATAGCTTTAGATATAGACTATCGGTTATCCATAATGTAAAACAATGTAACAACAGTTTAATATATATATTCCCACCTCTGCTATTACCAAAATAAATGTCCATGATATTTCTATATAGCTTTAGATATAGATTATAGCGGATTTCTATTAATAAATTAGTGGAAAAGTTAAAAGTCTATTGTAATTGGAAGACTAAATGATAGTATTTACTAATATCATTTATTTTTTTAATATAGTAGAAGTCTTTGAGTCTATATAAAGACTAAGATTGTATTCTATTTGATAATAAGTTATAAAAGTATTTGATTCCTTTCTAATACATTGGCATCAGAGCTAATGACAAACATGATGAATCAAATGTCGTTGTCACGGTTAACAAAGTCAAATTACGAAAACTGGAGTATCCAAATGAAAGTTCTTCTTGGATCTCTAGACGCGTGGGAGGTGACCAATGATGAGTTTGAAGAACCAACAGATGTTGTGGAACATACGACAGCTCAAACTAAGGCGTTGAAAGAGACGCGATCGAAGGATAAAATGACACTGTACATGTTGTTCAGGGTTGTTGACGAATCAGGCTTCGAAAAGATTGTTGGTTCGACTACGTCGAAAGAAGCATGGGACACGTTAGAGAAAGTGTCCAAAGGAGCAGATCGAGTGAAGCAAGTTCGACTCCAAACTCTTCGTGGCTAATTGGAGAGGATGCAGATGAAGGAGACAAAAACTGTATCTGACTACATCACACGTCTACAAAAGGTAGTGAACCAGCTCACCATAAATGGTGAAACAGTAACTGATGCATGAGTTATTGAAAATATTTTGAGATCTTTAACAGATAAATTTGAGAATATTGTGTGTGCAATAGAAGAGTCGAAGGACCTTTCGACGCTCTCAGTCGAAGAGCTCGCTGGTTCTCTCGAAGTACATGAATAACGTAAGATGAAAAAGAAGGAAGAAGCAGTCGAGGAAGCAAATCAAACCAAGGAGTCGATCAAAGACGAAAAGGTACTATTTTCTCAAAACTTTCGAGGAAGAGGACGTGGCCGTGGAGGTCGTGACAGCGGTCGAAGTGGTCGAGGCAACAACTTCGAGAGAGGACATTCGAATCAACAAAATTAGCGTGGCAGAGGACGTGGTCAAAGAGGTGGTCGGTCGAACCACTCCAACTTCGAATGCTACAAGTGTGGGAAGTATGGTCATTACACGAAGGATTGCAGTTCCTACAAATGTTATAACTGTGATAAAGTGGGACATCTTGCAAAAGATTTTCAAATCTAAAAGAAGGTAGAAGAAACAATCAATCTAGCCTTGGAAGCTGAAGCGAATGAAGGTTTTCTCCTTATGGCTCAAAATGAAATCAACACCAATAATGACCATGTTTGGTATCTTGACTCAGGAGCAAGTAATCACATGTGTGGTTACAAACACCTGTTTAAAGAAATGAAACAAATTGAAGATGGTAATGTATCTTTTGGAGATACATCGAAAGTGAAGATCGAAGGAAAGGGCACAATCTGTTACTTACAGAAGGATGGCTTGATTTGATCAATCCAAGATGTTTACTATGTACCAGATCTCAAGACCAACATCCTGAGTTTGGGACAACTTACAGAAAAAGGTTTTTCGATACTTATAAAAGATCGAATACTACATTTGAAGGACAAAGTAGGACATTTGATCGCCCGTGTCGAAATGGAAAGAAATCAAATGTACAAACTGAATTTGAGGAACGCTTGAGAGAAATGTCTACAAGTCGACATGCAAGACAAAGCGTCACTATGGCATATACGCTTTGGTCATCTACATCATGCTGGTTTGAGAAGATTGGCGAAAAAGAACATGGTGCACGGACTACCAGACATGGATTATGAAGGAAAGTTTTGTGAAGAATGTGTGCTCAGCAAACAAACAAGAACCTCATTTCAAAAGAAGGCAGAATATCAAGCTAAACATATTCTTAAATTGATTCATACTGACATATGTGGGCCAATCACTCCAGAATCCTTCAGTGGAAAAAGGTACTTCATTTCCTTTATCGACGATTTCTCACGAAAGACCTGGGTTTTTTTCTTGAAAGAAAAGTCTGAAGCATTAGAGGTGTTCAAAAAGTTCAAAGTAATGATGGAGAAGGCAACCGACAGACATATCAAAGCAGTTCGATCTAATAGAGGTGGTGAGTACACTTCGACGGCCTTTATGAAGTATTGTGAAGAGCAGGGCATAAGGAGATTCCTAACTGCACCATATTCACCTCAGTAAAATGGTGTGGCTGAAAGAAATAATCGAACTATTCTTGACATGATTCGATCAATGCTTAAGAGCAAGAACATGTCGAAAGAATTCTGGGCAGAAGCTTTACAATGTGCAATTTATGTTCAGAATTGATGTCCACATTCGAAGTTAGAATACCAAACACCACAAGAAGCATGGAGCGGACAGAGGCCAAAAGTTTCTCATCTCAAAGTATTTGGTAGTGTATCTTATGCACATGTACCAGATCAACAAAGAACGAAACTTGAAGATAAAAGTAAAAAGTATATATTCATTGGATATAATGAGAAGAAAAAAGGGTACAAGCTATTCGACCCCATAAGCAAGAAAGTGATCGTGAGTAGATATGTTCGAATAGACGAAGCGAGCAAGTAGGACTGGAACAATTCTACAGAAGTTATCGACGCAGTCGAAGAATCATATGTCGTTGTACCAACAAACATTTCAACAGAACATGAAGATATTGAAAATGAAGATTAACCTCTACAACCCAGAATGCGAAGTTTGAAAGATTTATATGATTCGACAAATGAGGTACACCTTGTGTGCCTTCTGGAAGATACTGAAAACATCAGTTTTGAAGAACGCTACGTGACAAGAAGTGGAAAAGTGCCATGAACGAAGAGATTAGAGCAATAGACCGCAACAACACTTGGGAGCTAGTCGAATTGCCAAAAGGTAATCGACCCATTGGTGTAAAGTGGGTATTCAAGAAAAAGATGAACACTCAAGGAGAAATAGAACGATACAAAGCGCGACTTATTGTGAAGGGATACAAACAGAAAGTAGGGATTGACTATGACGAAGTGTTTGCACCTGTTGCAAGAATGGAGACAATTCGATTTCTCATTTATCAAGCTGCTTAATTCAAATGGCCGATATTTCAAATGGATGTCAAGACAACATTTTTGAATGGTGTACTCGAAGAAGAAGTATATGTCGAACAACCACTTGGGTATATGAGGATTGGAGAAGAGAATAAGGTGCTGAAATTGAAGAAAGCGCTATATGGGCTGAAGCAAGCATCGCGGGCATGGAACACATGCATCGACACATATTTCAAGGAGAATGGGTTCGAGCAATATCTGTATGAACATGCCCTCTATATGAAGAAAAATGGAAGTAATTTATTATTTGTTGCTCTCTATGCCGATGATGTTATTTTTCTAGGCAGCGATGATCAGATGATAGAAGAATTCAAGAGCACCATGACACACGAATTCGAAATGACAGACTTAGGCTGATGAAATTATTTCTTGGTCTGGAGGTTCGACAAGAAGAAACTGGAATCTTTATTTCACAAGAAAAATATGCAAAAGAAATCTTCGAAAAATATAATATGAAAAGTTGTAATCCAACTTCAACGCCAATGGAACCAGGTGCAAAATTGTAGAAATTTGATGGAGGAGAACGTGTCGAAGTAAGCAAATATCGAAGCTTGGTAGGTAGTCTTCGATATCTCACATGCACAAGGCTGGACATTTCATTAAGTGTCGGCATTGTAAGTCGATTCATGGAGGATCCAATATATTCACATTGGAAGGCATTGAAACGAATCCCAAGGTACATCCAAGGAACAATGTCATTTAAAATGTTCTACTCAAGAACAGAAGATTACAAGTTAGTTGGTTACTCTGACAGTGATTGGTACGGAGATATAGACGATCGAAAAAACACTTTTGGATATATGTTCTTCATGGGAAACGCCGCATTTACTTGGCTTTCTAAAAAGCAACCAATAGTAACACTTTCGACATGTGAAGCTGAATATGTGGCAGCTTCTTGGTGCGTTTGTCATGCAATATGGCTTAGAAGATTGATGAGCAAAATTGATCTAAAACGGGAAGGTGCAACTGTAATACAAGTGGACAACCAATCAGTAATCGAGTTGGCAAAGAATCCAATAAAACATGAGAGAAGCAAATGCATTGATGTTCGCTTCCACTTTATTCAAGAACATGTGAAGGAAGGAAGTGTCGAATTGAGGCATATAGAAAGCAAGGATCAAGAA